GAGAGAACCAGGTGACAATAGCGATGAACATTTTAAGGCGATAACTGACTCAAGTTCATATAAGCCGGTTGAAAATAATAATATAATATTATTGTGGTTATCTGGCCACTACAATTAAGTGAGAACGGCTTATGAAGTTCTAGATCTGTTTCAACTTTTAATTACAGCCTATTCATGTTCCATGGCTGAGCATGATGTAAAATTCAGCCACAGTGCTGCTGAGATACAAGCGAAAAAGATGGCCGAAAGGAAGGCAAAGCAAGTGTCCTATTTGGTGTGGTGGATACTACGCGAGCTTCCCGTTATGTTAATCGTGGGTTCGAAACCCTTCTGAGGTTCACCAAAATTCGCTTAAATCTCAGCATTTTTATGGCTGTATATCACGTCTGTGTTTTTATTCCTCCAGATAAGTCTGGTGTTACGTCCTTGTTTGAATCGCAAGGCCCCTCTAACTATTGCCCTACACGAGTCCTAGAAGTAATAACATCAACAACAGTAATAAGAATAAGGAAAATATTTAGTTTTTCCATATTTAGTCTAACCATCACCGAGTGTTGAGTTTGACAAGATACTGCTGCATAGATTTGATTCTATAATAACTCGGAGAACAAGCGCATTCACCACCAAATGGTGAGTGAACCAAATGTAGTGCTTGTTTATTTCTATTCATTAAAAAATATTTATCATGCTAACATCAAAGCAGATCGATTCCTTTTTAAGAAATGACGATTTATATTTATATATGGGTCGTGTGTTCGATTTTTTTGTGGGCGCGAAATGTCTTTTTCCATATTTCGGCAAAACACGCCGAACTGTGAAACCTGAAGCTTACTTGTCATAACATAAAAGACAAACACAAAATGAGTAACACGACACAGTACCATTCTTACCGGTAGAAAATTGTCAGCGGTGAGCAACCGCGAACGAGTATTGCCCAGTAGTAACTCCCATAAAGCCTGAGGATTTCTTCAGTAACACCAGCCTAGAACGAGCACAGCAAAGTAAAATAAATGGCTCAAAATAGTGTTACTGATATGGCGGAAAAACTCCATTCGTGTATCTTACCTTTTGAGCCTCAAAAACATTCATCAAAAATTGAGCGCAGTTTATCATGAGGAGGAATGTTATCATCTTAAAGCTAAAGTGAGTTAATGCCTTTACACATATACACCGTTCAGAAATTATCTTACTTGCTTTCCTGGTTTGAATCTCAACATTAGATTATCATCCTCATCAAGCACGAGCTTTGATCCGACTAGGATGAGACCAGATTGTAATGTGACTTGAATCTGTAACAATCATTACACGTCGTATACGGATAATCTACTGTGCCACCTTATACTAGAATCAAAAACGCTTACCAGACGAAAAACATTTGTAATAAGAATAGTGATCGACAGCGAACTCATTGCGGGATGGTTCACAAATGCTAATATGCCACCTATAAATAAAACAGCTTTTAAGCATTTCACCGAGCTATTTTATGATAAGCCCTTTTTTATTTGCTCCTAATTATTTCCAAGGTTCCTCTCAGTTCGCGAAAACATGGTAACATAGTGGGATATAAAACATAAATGCATTAAGAGAAGAAAGCCTGAAGAAACTGCGAATTTAAAAAATAGATTGAAAGTCCATTTCTGTTCCACTGATACCCCAAGGAAAACACTTTAGATATCATTTGTACCAAATGTTATCACGTTAATCACTGAAGGATTTGTTTGGGCTTAAGCACTACTGATCATTAAAGCACCTCAACGCATCAGGCTTCCTAGGAGTAGATGTCAGGACTAATAGTTGTAGACGAGGCCGTACCACTCTAATGCAATTCCAATCATTCGATTTCAGTGTGCAGAATTGTGAAAACAACGTAGTCTATCTACAGCTCACATACGTATTCATATTTAGAAGAATAAATGATGAGGCGTTCGGCGTTGATTAATCGCTCCCGAAGAAGGCGTCGTGGATTCGACTTCACTAACCATTATTATATAAGGGATTAAATACTTGGTTAGCCTAGATAACGAATTGGAAAGAGCTACCGATGTATCCAGCAAGTGATTTTATCCTCCAAGACAGACCAATATGTCCACCTGAGAAGAATGGAGAGTTTGGCTTTTCCATGGGGCATGATAAAACCTGGGTATTGGGCGGCACATTTAACGAGTGAGTTATACGTGCCTCGCATAAATAAAGTCAACCCAGCACAGCAGAGACAAGACACCCATCACCTAAATTTATCTATGGCACGGAACAACAATACGGTTCCTTTAGGTTTTCGTTTATCTTTAACAATGGCCTCGAAAGGCGCCACGTTATCCTAGGAACAATGAATTTCTTATATAGGTAAACCATAGACGTGCATCGAAAAAACCACATAAAAAATAGGTTTTCCACATGTTTCTGACTAGCTTTTGTTACAGAAAACTTACCAACTGTGAACACCATTTCACCTACTAATCCCACCACTAACAATATTCGATCAAGAAGTTCAGCACTGCTGGCGTCATCGTCCTTTTTCTCTTCGTTAAACTTTAGCACCTTCATTCGCCAAAAAGCATAAAAGCAGACACTAGTAGATAGTGAAAAGAAAACCAAATTAGTGGAGGTGAAGATCTGGAATACAACTTATTGAGCCAAAGAGATTGCAATGATTCGGTGACATTGCTCACTTTAAACTTACCTACCCGCAAACACTTTATTTTTCCGTAAAGTTTGTGTTGTGCGTGCTTCCTTTTATTGGTGAATTATATATAAAACATTTTCTAGATCAGAATACACTATTAAGGGCCCTTGATTAGTGTGCTAGCAGTTTCGAAGTTGCGTTCCCATCCTTGGCCACTGAGCACGTGAGAAGCCCATAAACTAACACCAGAAAAAAATAGGCAGAATTAGTCTCCTTATCGAAAGAATTTAGCTCTTTGTCGATCTTCTAGATTAGCCCATCAGCCTAGAGAAGTTATCAGTGGAGCAACACATGGCCACACCTTAGGACAGGGAGGATCCTTAAACACAGAAAGTAACATTTCAATAACTATTTCTCTCTTTGCAAGCAAGCAATTCCGACAATCGTTCCACGCTAATGTTACTCATTATATTTTCTATCGTGTTTACAGGTGAAAGTCTTAACTGAAGAATGACGATATAGTTTGTGTAATTAATGTGGTTATGAGAGTGATACCAGGGGTAGAACGAGAACCAGGAGATTATACTAGAAATGAAGAATGTCAAGGCTTTCGTCACCATTTTATTGTTTTGATATTCGTTGCGGATAACAGGCTCCTTAATAAGAAGTATTTCACCTTGTACTGTATGGAGCTTAGGGAAGAAATAGAGCGACGTCGCATTACACCGAGTTGAAGAACACGGCTAATACAATCATTTAAACTACTTCAATGGCAGCCAACTGATGACACGAATAATCAATGAAGAAGATCACAGAAATTAGCCGTTGAAGACAGCAGCTATAAGATGTCCTTGTCTTTACCAAATTCCCGTTTATACGTGTTATACAATTCTGTAGTATTTCTCTAAAGTGGTCGAAAACGCTCTGAATCATTGCGATACCGTGACCATAGTGTATTAATAAGACCGTACCCATTCTGCCAATTCAGTTTCACTAGAGTAGGTGTTGTAGAGTGCGATTGCTATAATCGTGATGGCGATGAGAAAAAATCCTGAATAAGCTGTTTATATGATAAGATTATCAACTATTTGTGCAGCCGTTACCTCCAAAAAGACCTTCAGCTGTTCTTGAGCAATCCACAGTAAGCAGACTTCGTTTGCGACTTCTTCGTAGTGCCTCGAATAAATTCACAGTTCACCTTACATTGCCAACGTACACATTTTTTCTCACGTATTAAAGTTCTCACGTCATCGTGTTTCTGGGAATGTTTGTTTCTAAATTTTTCTCGTCCCTGAACCACGGATTTCGTTTTATCTGTTGCAGTTGGCTAGAATTATGACAAACACAACAATAACGTACTTGATTGTTTGTTTCCGTAATCCCTGTTTAAAACCGGTAGGTGACGTCAGCAAATTGTCGTGACAATGATATAAAGACTTCAAAACGGCTATTTTATCAAAGAAGCACCTCGATTTCGCCCAAATGCGCTCGTATATGTGCAAATATAACAAAATAGATTTGGATTACTGGTGTCGCTGCTTTTCCATATCTAGCAAGTCGTCTAATTTGAGAACATTGTAAATTACTTCGAGCAATTACAATCATTCATCATTAGTTCATTACTTTAACGGATTGTTGAACGAAGTTCTTCGAATTATCACCACTTGTGAAATATAATGTGGTAGTTCGAGCCTACACCAGAACAACGAGACTCCTATCTGTCTCTGGAGTAGGAAGGTTGATAACAGATTAGGAAAAGCTTCCTTTAATCCACAAAGGCTGGTGGATGCTTGCCATGAAAACAATAGGATGGTCTAGCAGAACCATCTTAGGATTCCAGGGAGAATCAGTTTGACTAGCACTCAAGGATAATCATGAAGAAAACAAAATTCTCAACTGGCAGTGGTAACCACACACAAATCCGAAGACCTTCATGGATGATGGATACGAAGCATCCGTCCGAATTTGATTCTTGTTGGGATCCGGAGGATTTGTTAAGATGGGTCATACTAACGATTGGATTTAAAATTGCCAACTTCCTCATAAGAGATGTTTTCACTAGCGTTTCATACGCGTGTATATAGTAAGTACATATTTTGCAGGAGGGGTTATTTCAACTAGCTTTGTGACAATATGGTATTCCTGTGGACGGAATGAATAGCGTTAATTTAGTTAATCGTGGATGTTGGCATTTTATTCACCGCTCCAGACCATGGTCGGCGAAGCTAACAATCAAAAGAAGATGCCTAATGATGTTTAGAAGCTGTTGAAGAGTTTCTGACTTTCCAATGCAGAAACAAACTAAAAACTAAAGTTAGGACTAAAAAGTCTAATTTGGACTAAAAAAGTCTCATTGACTCCTTAGACGACGCCTGTAGCCGTTTGTTACTGAGGACAAATCGCTCCAAAACATATGCGAATCATTTTAGGAACTACACGTATTTCTTTGATGAAACAGAAAACTCATAATACTTGCTGTCATCTTGTCGGCTTGTATGTTAAAAATATTTACTCACGCTTTCTTGTTTGCACAGATCGATATTGGTCCAAAAGACAAACGCCACGCCAGCACAAATCAATGAATACTCGACGACACAGGTGTACCTAATAAACCCGATGAAAACTAAGTAGTGACCGCATTTAGACCTCTTACACGTAGGTTGTTTATTATTGTGTTCATAAATTGCCATTACAGCAAAACGCAGTATGTGGTTATAAGAAATTTGCCTTAAACTTACATGAACTCACTGTATCCCTCAAATGAGCACAGTACACTTTTGCATTGCTCTTTGAATCGAATATGCCCTGAATGAACAAGTGCTCGCAAGCCATCGCATTGTTATGAATCTCATCCAAATCCGCTACTGAATGGCCAATGCCGATCGAATATAAAAGAAGTACTGGTTGTGTGAGTTGATGTATAGCTATTGGAGATAGAGAAGATCCACGGTCAAAGTGTTGCCGAGAGTTGGATTACGGTCAATCTGTTAATGTCTTTTTTCCCTTAGTTTTCAAATGGAACTGTTATTCTTAAGGGCAACAGAGCAACCTTCTATTAATTTCAGCACTGTTCAACTATAACCCAACACAAAAGCCACGAAACTTATATTCCAATAGCATTAGAAACAAAATAGTTTCTTTGAACACTCACCGATCTCTATGAGTTTTCCACTGAGTATTCCACGTGGAGACCAACCGTAAAGAGGTCACATGATGGTGCTCCTCTCCACCTATCTAGTTACCCGTGAATGTGAGCTAATGCTGTTGCTCTCCACTAGGAATACTGGGTGGAAGGTACAGAGAGTGGTGAGTGCGTGCAGAAGCTGCTTCATACCCAATGCCACTGAAATTTAGGTATCGTCGTATCTCTGCTGAGGTTTGCTTGGCTGACTAGATTGTATTTAGCCTGACCTTTCCATGATGTAGGTAAAATCCGCTGCAACATCAGCTAGTATTGCACTGAATAGACCTAATTAGTAACAACCTCCCGTCTGCCTAAGGAAAAAACAAGGACTTATTGTAAAGGTCTTATTTATAGAAATATTCTATATGCTTTGTATATTCTGATTGTTTAATCGTGGACTAACAACGTGATTGTTTATGACTTTTAGTGTAGCGCCAGTTCGAAAGAAGCGAACCTGATTCCGTCGATGCTCTAGTGAGGACAACCGCATTCGTCGGACCAGAATCGCTGAAGTTCTGATAGAGTGAAAAACTCTGTGCTTTCCTAAAATTTAGCAACATGAGCACAAGAATCATGGAATTCACAATGATATGTATTTGGAGACAAGAAGACTAATAGAATAAAAAATATGTCACTGGAACGAAGTGCCTTCATAGCTGATGATTTTCTTAGTGGGTAAATGTTGTTTTCAAAGTCAGGGGACCATTTTTTTTAATGAACTAACCTTATTTCAGTTATGGTCTCTTGCTCTTCGTACAAAATATAACGAAGCCACATCCATAAATTCGTACCACACAAATGCATCAGACCAAAGCGTGCTATGTTACCCTGTCCAGTAAAAATTATCTGAAATGTAGTCTCGTTTTGTTTTATTTCAATAATCGCTCTTCTTACAAGCTGGTTGAGCCCTCCCCATTTGAGTCGACCATTAAGCTAACCATAATAATAGTGGAAAACTACCTTTCCGTTACAGTACACAAACCACATTTGTAGAAATATAAACAAAGCTGTGAAAAAGTTGAGGAAATTTGACCTGAAAAGATCGGATTTTGCTGAAATTATAGTGCTTCTTCAGGAAGTTCCACTGGATTTCATGTATACAGATCCGTTTCTATAGATTATATTCTTCCTCTTTTTTATGAGAAGTCACTAAGTGGTAGGTCAAAAATGTAGATCGGTAGTGGCAGTAAAATATGGTTTTCATTCATGTAGAGGTGAATTCTGTGGAAGAAATAGTGGAAAGTATGGAATTCCGTAGGATGAAAAAGAAGGTGTGGAATGTGTCTCTACCACCAAATAGCAAATTGTAGATAAGGGATGCGTGTAACATTCTAGGGACTTTGAAAGTTTTTCCTTTTTGTTTGCGGGTGGAAAATTTCAGCAATATGAAACTAAAAGAATAGGAAAACAATAAAGCTTAGACTTGTAGGTGAAAAGCGAAATTACATCGTATTGCATTCGGCTTGGTCTTCGCTCTTACTCCAGCCCAACGTACAGATGACAAATATTAATCCATAGTACACCACTCCTATGAGGCCGAACACTGCAATGCCATAAAATCTATTTAAAATAGACGATTAGATGACGAAATATAAAAAATAAAAACAACAGATATAATAATAGGAGTCACTCACCAACACATCCAATCCGTAGGTAAAGACTACCTGTATTGGTGTTGGCCACTACCTGAACCCGAAACAGAAATTATTCCTTTCGATCTTTCTTAGAATGTTTGATGTAGCCAGTTTTTGAATTTGTCTGATTTTCAAACGATGTCTAAGAAGAGATTTCTCTAATACTCAGAAAATCGAACTCCGTTTATAAGGCAAAACATTGTTTAAATATATGATGAACTTAGGACAAGTGCTGAAAAGAATATTACGAAAGGATAATTGCCGAAGCTACCTCTGGTCCAACACTAGGTATTTTCGTGAAAGCTAAGGTTTTGCGTTTTGCGGCTACTTCCTGATGTTGTCGATATACCAAGAAACCAGAATAGGAAATGAATAAGATCGAACCTCCGAACGTCCAAAAGCCTAGAATCTGAATGAAAATTGTGCCACAGTTTTCAAATTCGTGGAAAGTTTCTATGATAATTTTTTATTGAAAATTATAACATATTGGCGATTCTTTGGGGAAATTTATTAGTCGCATGAAAAGTTATCAACCCAATGCAAAAAATTTTTAGTAAACAGTCAAATATAAAGTGTTTTCTAGTACAAAGTCCACCTTTGTCAGTCCTTTTGCTTTTTTAAGCCTTTTTAAAACTGGTTCAACTTGAAAAACAAAAATAAATTGGAAAATACAAAGTTTTTAGCGCATTACCAGATCCTTGATATGTGCTTTGATTGATGAACGGGATGCACTGAGGATGAGATTCGATAGTGCGATCACCACACCGCAAATTATAATGAATAACGCATAGAAACATGTGAACAATTTGAAGAGATAAGTCCTAAATAAAAGTGCATACTCAAATGAGGAGAGCTGAGCTCAACACGAATGTGGTAGTTAGATAGAGACATAGTCAGGTATGTTTTTATTTATCTGATGAGACCTCATTTTACTTACAATTTCGTGGTGAGCCTGTACTCACTTGTCACTGTCACTGTCAGATCGTTGCTCATGTTGATACGAGTTTCAGAAGAGCCATCCTACCTGGACTCGTCACTGAAGAACCAGTACACCTGTCGGGATCTGCCCGCCCATTTCCGTAGTTGGATGGACGGGGATGATTTTCGTGATATTGTGCTTGCATCAGGATCCAACAAAACACTTTCTTTGTCGATCATCTCTATATGATCATCCATTATCTATAATAAGCTTTTATTGTTTAAGTTCACCACCACCGCCCTTCTAGTGTGTTTCTGGCGAAGGTCTGCGCGCTAGTGTCGAGCATCCAAATAGTGGAAGTACATGAAAATTCTATGCGAAAAGCTCACTATATATCATTGAGGCGAACTGATAATCTCTTCGTTTGTTAAGTCGGGGCGATCTGATGATGACTCGATGTTTCATTGGTTACCACTTATTATCACGACGTTTGACTACCAAATATCATGAATGATAAACGAATTCGACATAAGTGGTTGGATAACAGCGCTGTTATGATTCAGATCTTATCAGTTCACTTCGTCATAAATCCGTACTTGCGCTGTTCCACGCAGTCCTCATACAAAATAAAGCGCAGTGATGATCTTTGGTTGTTCTGTTTCGAAGATAAGAGAATTTCAGTTGTTTAAATAGTAATAGGAATTTCTGCTACCCTTTTTTTATTGGGCTGTATGCTCCTTTTATGTTTTGATTCCTGGTGAAACGGAAATTCTTTTCGATGTCTCGTATAACTAAGCTTTTACTTGATATAATTAGATTTTTAGCCAAAAGTACCAAAATTTCATTACTAGAGTTTTGTTAGAAAGCCAGAATACTATTTCATCTGATCTTCACCACATACAAAGATTGGAAAACCGAATAAAAACGGAAAAGAGCGAAAATTGGCGAGATGTTGTTACATGTCCCTTATCATCAGCCTATAGAGGGAGACAGCACAAAACCACACGCAGACAGCAGTCAAGGGAGATGAATAGTTGTTGATACAATTCGAGCGTGTAGATGGAGTTGACTGGCAGTATTTTATATAAAAAGGGAGTTTATGAAATGCCGATTTGCACTACATGGCTACACCCCACTAAGCGATCATGTTCTAATGCTCTGGATATATTGTTCAGAGTTAGACACGAGTTATAACGAGCGATGGATTTAACAGAACGATTGAAGAAGACAGCAGCAATATCACAACGTTAACAAACAAGTGGAAGAAGTAGGATTACAAATAACGATTGTCTATTGTCTGAACTGGGAAACTGAGCGGCTATCCGACAGATGCTTCGAAGACTCGGGTTTTACGTAAACATTATAAGAGTACACTAGGCGTCATTCAAAAATACAAACGTGTGAACAAAGTTTGTACTTAGTCGCATCACTTGTCACTTGTATCACCTGTAGTCCCTTTGATCATCGAGTGACTCCAGCGGGCGCCAGTAAATCTTCCATTTTTCCCTGTCACATGCAAGAGTAGCCCAGTGGGTTCTGCTCGTTCCAGGGACTCGTCGAGCATCATATCTTTCTTCAAAGCTCTTTGTGAAGAACTCTGAGCATCGGGTCGGTGGTCTTCCTGCAGTGCGTTTGACATCTCGAGGAATCCAGTCACTAACGGCTCTTGTCCATCGGTTGTCATTCATACGCATTACGTGTCCGGCACACCCTATATTCGACTGTTTGGCGCACAGAATGGCATCTTTGATTTTTGATCGTTGAGGCAGATCCGAGCTTCGGATCCCATCCTTTACTTGTGTGAAACGGGATACTCCTAGCATCGCCCATTCGACCGCGCGTTCGATAACGCTGAGTGATTTTTCATCCTGCTTGAGCAGCGACCAAGTTTCTGACGCATACGTTGAGGCAGGAAGTACCGTTGAGTCGAAAAGGTGTGCATGGAGTCGGGTGTTCTTTGTTCTCTGTACTACATCCTCGATGCTCTTGGAGGCTCCCCAAGCCGCTCGTTTCCTTCTGCTCAGCTCTGGAGCTAGATCCTTCATCATCTTGATTTCCCGACCTAGATAGACATAACTGGAGCATTCGAAGATATTCGTTCCGTTGAGCGTGAATGGAGCATGCGAAACCAATTCGTTGTTCATGAATATCGTTTTTGTGAGATTTAGTCGAAGACCAATCTTTCCACAGGCTTACCAAGCTTTATAGTCGCATCATGCAAGGGAGACATCATGCTAGTGATGAGACTGCAGCGCTAATAACTTCGAGCATCAGGTAGACCACACGCTTTTAGTAAGTCGAGAACATTTATTAAGCAAAGGTTGAAGTGAATTATGGACAAACGTCCATCGGTAGCAATCACCAGCCTCATGAATGGAGATCTTAGAAAGAGGACACCACATTTTTCGTTCATCTTGATCGACTCAAATCCATTTGAAAACACTAGTATGCGTATAAAACTAGTAAAAATGTCCTTTATGTAAATACATGATATGTTCATTAATTAATGTACTAAAAGAAAATTTCAGTCAGTCGTTTAATACGCAGCTGGGTTACGCACAGCGATTTAATGCAACCTGCAATTTACACTTGATCGTTGTTGATATCCCGCCCTCTCGCTTCTCCTGGGCCGAAAAATTCGTATCAAAGTTTTCTGGTAGAAAAAAGGAAGGACAATAAAGAACATCGACGCGATACATCAGAAAGGCATAGCTTAAGTAAAATGTGCACTCAGCCACCTTTCCGATACTGCGCGGAATCTACTCACATGACTCACGGATTGCTTTAGCACATACTACTGCTGTGCCCTCAATAATAACAACTTCGGTGTTTGTCCTCGTCGTCGTACCGACGTCTACTCGCTAGCGTATGACATATTTAACAATAGAAATACTCCCTGTTTTTGAACACAAATGAGCCAGTGTAAAACATAATGCAGTTGTAGACCGATGGCGTCCATGGTGTAACAAATCTTGACTAGCTGAGCCTATTCGACTGCACTCGACAAACTCGCTTGTAAAGGAATAAAACAGTAATTTATGGACCAATCGGTGCTGGTGTCGTAAGCTTAGTTCATTAGGATGGGTAAGATCAGTGCTGATTGTCGGCTCACTCGAGAGCTGATCCACTAAAGAAGATCTGACTCGATACAACGACGAAGATATCACATCGAGAGTACGAAGAACTGTAGACGTCTATTCGGATCATCGGCTCTGAGAAAGACGAAGACGTCGAAACCTTAGCCGAATAAAGTTTGTTTCACCAATCTCGCGTTAGCGCAACAATGAAAGAAGATACATTGCCAGTGAATGTTGTTCTTGACTGTCTTTCCGATGCTGAGCAAAATCAGGAAAAATTGAAGTTTATTTCCTGCACTGGGGTAAAATTGCAAATGAACTGAAATAGTTATTGTTTTAATGCAGTACAAAAAAGAAGCGTATGAAACAGTGCCGCAAACATTAAAATATTTTGAAAAAATTATATTGATAAAAGCAAGAAGAAAGTTGATAAAACTTGTGCATGATTGAAAGCGAACTGCAGATAATTGCGTTTAATGCTATCGAGATAGAACTATAAGATTGCTGAGATATTTGCAAAACGCCGGACTGCAGGTGTCTGCGGCGGGGAACGAACGCGCTATTGTCATTCCCGGGGAGTAACGCGTTCACCACCACACCATGCGGGTCCTTCGGTTCGTCTGTCTCTCAGCTAGGGATTAATCTGAGGAGCCCAAATCGGCAACGAGGCCAGTTAAGCTGAGGCTGCAGTTATAATCACAATTTTAACTTTATTATTTACGCCCACTCTTTTTTTAATGCCAGGGTATATTGCGGAATATAACTTCAATGATGCTGAGGTATTTGCAAATCCCGCTGACGGGTGATTGCTGTGGCAAAGATCGATAGAACTAGCTGAGAGACAGGCGAAACGGAGGATTCGCATGGTGTGGTGGTGAACGCGTTACTCTCCAAGAAGGGCAATAGCGCGTTCGTTCCCCACCGCAGACACCTGCAGCCCGGAGTTTTGCAAATGCAAAAAATAAAAAAGCTGTCGAGATAATTTAGCTGCGATTATATGTTTCACAAGCCTCTCTTCCACCCGGCGTCGGGAAAATTCAAGATGAATTAATAAATCCTCTAGCAGCAACTGAAGCCACACGTAAAAGTTGGAAGATCGCCGTGGACAATGGATGCGAGTAAACGGATCGAACATGAGAAGTGCTGGGATCTGCTCGATAGACGTGAAAACAGGTCAAATAAAATAAATGAAAGAAATAAGTTTCACAGTTATTAAAACCCAGGTTTTGTTGTAGGTCGAGCCACTGGAGTAGACCGGTATCCATATCTCTTCTCGACAAAGTTTTCCTGTTTGCTTAGCACTGTGATCTGTCGTTGATTGCAGCTTCTTTCAAAATAACTGGATCCCGTGTGTAGAAGACTGTATTGCTACATATTTCTGGGCAGGAATCCTTTCTTTATAAGTAACAGTGGAAAAAAATGCTTCAAATGAAGTATAAAAAACTGTAGAGAAGCTATTTTTAACTAGAATTCACGATAAAAACAAATTAAGCTCAAATTTGTTAAGCATAAAGCACAGGATGACACATGCTCACAATTAACTCATGGTCACGCTTTGTGGTTTCAATTTCGCTACTGTATTTTGTTTCGTAGTGGTAAAGACCACTAAAAAGTTTAGAGAGCGTGTTCGGAATTGATTAAGTTTTTAAGGACACCTCATTCTAATTCATTAAGCATTGTTTGGGTAACGAAATGCAAATGTAACTTGTACAAAAGAAAAATTGCAGGCCTAATACAATGTATAAAATCGGCGTCTCTTTATTCTCTGGACAAGTCTAGTAAAAGTTTATCGAGTGCGAAGGTAACGGTGGTTTGACTAGGGTTTAAAGCCGGGTTAAACCAACCATTTTAGGTGAAGGGCTCCTCTAGGCACAGCGCATGAAGAGCTCCAAAAAACCATGACAGTTCATTTTCTCAAAACACTTCACCACTTTCTGGTTAAGCCGGTTTCAGAATCCAGCAAACTCTAGCACAAATTTCACTGCGATAGTATTTTTTAGCATAAACAATGGTTTTATTTACCTGGAGTCCAAATCTCCACTTCTGTCAATACCAGATATCGCTGCTCCTGGAATTATTAACGCTGAAAAGAGTTCGCATCTAAAAGACCGCTTTTTGGTAGATCGATAAGAAATTTCTAGCAGTGGATAACATTGAGTCTCCTGATAAAAAACGTATAT